TGATTAAGTGCAGCCCCTTCTTATCTAAATAGTCCACAGATGTACAAAGATGCAGGAGCTTTCTTTCCCTATTTGGAACTTGTTCTGGTACCCATCTTCTCCAAACCTACAAAAAGCAGCTTTGCTTGGCCTTTGCTGGCAGAAATTCCTAATGCCTGTTTCCCTAGTAAATCAGCCCTGCTTGGCAGGCTGTACTCAATTTATTAAAGAGGTGGGATTTCCCCTCCAAAGATTTTAGCTGCCCCTTTTTTCTTGGCTCCTCCCATAACCTGAGTTTGAAACTGCCCAGATGTGAACAAATGGAACATGAGAAGTCCTAATTCTGTTGTCAAATTACCTTACCTGGACAGGTAAATGCCACCAGTTGGTTTCTTCCAACCAGCTCTGTTGGAGGCTGTGGCTGGGGGCTGGGGCTGAGGAAATCTGGTAATTGACAGATGGAATGTTAATAGATTGTAGAAGGATGCAGAAAAAAAAAGATGGGATCTGTCAGTTTCCAAAATAAGTGACTCTGAAGGAAAAGAAGCAAGCCTGACGGGGTTGGAATCTAGGGCTGAGGGTGTAGATTAGAGGTAGGACTCTTGTCTAGCACAAAATGAAATCCACCGCTGTGGGTATATCTCAGTGGCACCCACCCAGCAGGCTCAAGGACTTGGCTTTGAAGATTAGCCCCCAACTGTGGGTTTATACTGGCTCCCATCCTCTGGCTCGATTTTCTTCTCAAATCAAAGCATGGCTCATAGTTTGAATGTCCAGTAGGTGGGTCTGTATCCAGATCCTAGAGGCAGCATTCTTACAACAGGGCAACGACACTACAGAGTCCATTGGAATGCTCCCACCCATGTGTGCTGTGCAGATCAGCAGCGCTCAGCCTCACTGGAGCCTCTCTGGAGCTGATTAGAAATGCAGAAATGCCTCGCCTCAGACATATGAGTTAGAATCTGCATTTTTAACACTAGTCCCCGAGTGACTTGGACATGTATAGATGTCTGAGAAGCATTCTTTGGAGAGTCAGATGTACCCAGCTATACAGGAGTAAAGCATTAGTCCCTCCCCTTCATAGCTTTCTTCTATTGACAAAAACCTAGTAAGAATAATTCAGAGGGCTGGGGATTTAGCTCAGTAGTGCCGCTGCCTGCTTCACAAGTGCAAGGTCCTGAGTTGGATCCCCAATTCCAAAAAAAAAAAGAAAGAATAACTCACAGAATTTTATACAGGGCTGAAGCAATACGGAGGTGGATAAGGAGTAAAGGAAGATACCAACATAATCTCCTGCACCTTTGTCCTGTTAGAATATTTTGCAAAGTAAGGTGTGTGAGCTGGGACACCTTAAAAACTTGAGTGCGGTCATTTCAAACTCAAGGTCTAGGGCCCTTCACAAACTTTCCTGATCAAGATCCTGGTGGTGGAAGCTGGGAACTGGATTGCACAAGTCGCCTCAGCGACCCATGCACACGTCCACAAGTCTGCTTTTCCTGCAATTGCTGTTGATGGCTGGCGCCGCCCCCACTTCTTCTGGACCTGCTGTAGGGAGCCAAGTTGGACAACACCGTGGGGCATGTCTCTTGCTGCCCCTTGGTAGCGAAGTTCCCGTGAAGCCAAGCCCTACTGTGCATGGTGCTGCTGGTATCCCCAATCACAAGGCCAAGCAGCCCTGGCCCTCGGGCGCCCCAAACTCCAGTACATATCCATGGCGTGGAGCTGAGTGCCTTTGCCCGTACTTTATCACCCTTTTGCAGATTTTTCAAAAGGAAAATAATTCAAAACCTCAATGAGAAATGATGCAGCATGGTGAGGGGGCTCTACGGGGTGACAATCACATCTACATCCAGCCTAAAATGATGTTCGTTTTTCCTGACCTCAGGAAGCCAAAAGGAAACGCCAAAATTTCACTTGGCCAGCTTGGCTTCCCACTACTGCACCAGACGGGTAGATAGTATGTGGGACTCTGCACCAGAGCATGACACTGAAAGACCCTCGTAGGGCAGCACAGCAGGCCCTAAAGGTGGTGTCTGCTCGGGCACAGCTTTGGATACTTTGGGGATCTTTACTCACTTTGCAGGAGAACTGCCAATTTCTCAGGTTTGGAGGTGGTTTATTAATCAGGGAACTGCAGTGATGAAGTTATCCCAACTAAACATCGATGGAAGAATTCCTCAGGCAAGATGCCAGTGACCTAACAGGAAGCAGTCTGGCTGTTGCAGAGCGTGCCGGTCTGCATCCAAAGGGAAGGTGACTTGTGCCTCCATGGCTAGAGTTGGGGGTCCCCTGGGAAGTCCCTGCTGTGTCACATCTTAAATTCCTCACCTATAAAGCATGAAGACATGGTCTTCTTCAAGGTCTCACACAGCTCCCAGCTCTAGACACTAACAAGTTGTCAGGTTCTAGCTGTTAATTTGTACCAGAGGGGAAAGAGCATCTGAAACCAGAAATGTGGAAAAGAAACGGGCAAGGCTGAAAACTACATTCTTGTAGAGCAAGTATTTAACCTTCTCTCTGATCTGAAACACACATCAGGAGAAACACTTCAGGCAGCTCTTCACAGAGCAGATGCTAAACAGAGCGAGAGGTCGGGTAGCCTGTGGGTCCAGCCCACCCACACCCAGTCATGCTTTGAAAACTGTTCAGCAGGAGCCAGAAGACACCACTGAAACAACTTGGAGTATGTGGGGGGTGTGTGGAGGAAGAGGGTGAGTGGAGTATGACGGGGGGGCAGCAAGTCACAGTGACACTCGTTGATTAATTCAGTGATTTTAGTCAAGTGAATACATGGCAGGAAAAGCATGAAAATAAAATGAACACATGTGGGAATTACTATTAACATAAGTGATAACATCAAAACATCTGGTAAAATGCAGTTAAAAAAACAACACAAATGAAATGGAATGTAAAACATTTTCACAGTATTCAAAGCTTTTGTAAAAGATTGAGACTCTAAAAGAGGAGCTGCTACACAAAGGACCCGAGGAAATGGTAATGTCACCCGTGTCCTGTGTATCTGCCGGTGACAGGTCAGCAGCCAGCCTGTCGTTCTAGGGACGTTCCCCACCTAAGCTTGCGGAACAGACCGTCGGCGTGCCCCACGTATACAGAGCTACAGCAGCGGCCAGTTACGCGGAGCTTGATGGGAAAAACAGATCCCAGGCTTGGGAAATGGAACATGGGTAATTTACAGAGCCAAATGGAAACTGGGGCTCTGACTGGCTTCTGCCTTGGGGGGAACTTGGTGCTAATCCACAAATACCAAGAGCCAAGTGTCACACAGGATAGTTAAAAATAAAGTGTTCTTGGAATTTTCACCTCCCACTCTATCTTCTAAGATAGCTACTAATATTTTTGAATGATTGAGTGGAGTTCTGCCAAAGGCTTCACATACAGCTCTCTCCAGATGATTATTTTAAAGCTTGTCAAATCTGACATTTGCACTAACAAAAATTATCAATCATGTATGGACCTCCTCTTTGGGAAACCAACGACCAAGGCGATGAGTCTGCACATTGGTTTTGTTAGATCCTCTGTTGAGAACAACAAAGCTTGGTGATAATGTGACTTTGGGCTCTTTTCATCCTGAAACTGCTGATGTAGGGACGGTGCTGGTACCCAAAGCCATCACTGAAACTGGATGGCCAGCGACACTGGGCTGGGGTCAAACCTGCTGCTGTGACTCACATTCCCTTGTTGTGGGGCCCCTGCTGAAATCGCTGCTTCCTACTGAGGATTTCCACTCAGCAGCCTCCCGTTCCCAAGCTCCTTCTGTGACAGCTGCTACTGTACACCAGCCGAAGCCCTCTCTTCTAGCCACTGCTGTATACACAAAGCCCTGCTGCGGAATGTGTTTTGTCAAAATGAGCAGATGTGCCTGAGCCCTGAACTCCTGACTTAACTGACCAAAGCTAAAGCCCAGCCCCAAGCAGTCACAAAATTGCATTGGACAACGGAGAAGCAGAGCATATCTAATTACTAAATATATATACACATTTTAAATCATCCAAAATTACAGGCAAACCATAGAAGATTCCCAATACTTTATAATTAAATGTCATAAAGGACAAAAAAGGTATTAAAATGATGGGATTGCTAATCGTGAGCAGTTAATTACATCAGGATAGCTCTCAGGTAGGTGGCTAATTGACATGATGACTTCCAGACTGGAGTCTCTCAAGTTAACAGCATCTTCCCACTTCTTGTAGGTCCAGGGCCACAGGGGGACAACTAACAACTTCACTGCCACATCCAGATCAGGTCTCAGTACTCACCCAGAGGAACAGTTGCTAAGGTCCTTGAGATGCGACAGAAAATCAAAACTCAGGCTTTGGCGAAGACGTTAACTGTAACCCTTTAGAACACTTCCTCTACGTTGGATAACAGTACCAAAGTTTGCTAGAGAACTAGTTTATTTACATCATTGCTAAAGCATAATGGCTTTGCGGGACATCTGCACGCATTTGGGAAAACCACAGAGATGGTTTGCCTTCAAAACTCTCTCCTTGGATAGGAACCCTATGTCAATTTTCCTGCAGAGACATGGAAAACTAAAACATGGAGGGGTCGGGCAGGCAGGACACTCTGAATCTCTTTGATCTATGGGCAACCAAGCTAAAAGGAACTGCCTTCTTCATAGGAAAGCAAAGACGGGACGTACTGTGCAACTGTCCTGGTAGTACCGGCTCCAGGTGGCTGAGACTTCTCGGGAAGAAGGGTCCGCAGCCAGCCTTGCATTGCTGGGCGAATCCCCCTTCTACGAAAATGCCCAGAGACATCAGAGCTCACCCTCCTCAGGAGCAGCCACAAGTGGATCAAGAGAATTTGGATTTTGTTCACTCTTCAGATAATCAATGTGGATTTTCCTCTAAACCTTGAAAAGAGGGTTTTTATTTTTCTGACTGCTGTTCTTTTAAAAATGTGGAATGAATAAACAAATCCAATTAGAATGCAAAGCTCTGCACCCAATTTCACAATTCACCCTGACTAGTTATTTGCTCAACTGTTCTAATTTTTAATTTTTCTTTCTTTAGCTGTCTTTAGAAAACCATGAACCACCTCCTCACCCTGGAAAGGCTCCTCTCCCCGCTGCCGTGTTCTGCTTCCTTTGCAGCCCTTTAAGTATCTGGAGGGGCCTCACACACAGGCTGATGACCACGGCTGACTCACCATGAGACACTCAGGGCCAAGGGCTCAGCGGGCCCTGGTCGTCCCTCCTACCCCTTCCTTCCCACGATCACATACTGCATGTGCACTCTGTGTCCCTGCACCTGTTACTTTCTGAACTCATAGGATAAGCAGGGATGCATTTGTTCCTATCTAATGCAGACAGAAGATAAATTACCCTGAACCTGAAAGCAATGGGACTCAAAAATAGCAAGAAGGCACTAGTTTCAAAGGCACAGGTCAGCCAATAGATCCATAAGCAACTCACAGCCTCTCTGACGGTCTGATGCCCTTTCTCAAGTTCTGCCTGATCCCTCTCTTTTGAACAGGGGACTTATCCAGGAACTCTCTCATTTAGTGTCTGTGTCTCCAGGTGCAACGGGTCTGCCCCAAGGCACTACACCTGCCCTTCCCCAATGCAGCTATCCAGAGCCTTCCTAAGCTGAGTGGCCCCCTTACCTGACCTGGCTATCCTGGGATGTGAGGGGCTGGGGGGGGCTGTGAGAACAAAGCCAACCAATTGCAGCGCCCACACCCACTGCACCAACGGGAGCAATGTGTGTGACCACGGGCCCCAGGAGCATTTGCTGTTCCCCCCTTGCCCCCACCCACACTGCTCCCTACCCCCCACCAGCTGGAGTCACTTAAAGACCGACTGAAAAGTGGGGCACTCATGATTTTTCATCTTCTTCATGAAGTTTTTGAACTCCTTGTTCTTCTTGTCCCATTTGTGAATAGCCGTGAGCAGGTACTGGCCCTTCACCTTCCGGCCCATGATGAGGAAGTGGGGGCTCAGGTTATCCAGCTGGTGGCATGGGCAGTCGGCCCCGTTCTTCAGGAACAGCACCAGCCTCTTCAGTTCCTTCTTTTTGATGGGTCCCAACTTCAGGGGCTTCTTCTTCTTGGGCACAATCTTCTTGTCACCGTTTTCTTTTTTCACCTCTTTTATTTTCATCCTGAGTGCTAGAGAGGTGGGGGCAGAGAGGGAGAGAAGACAGCAGTTTAGAACACGGGTCTTCCTCTGAGACACAGTGAACCTCTGGCCGAAGTGGACAGTCACAGGACAGGAGGCAGACAGCAGTGAGGGAGAGCCCCCGCCAACAGAACACTGAGGCCTCGCTAACCCACCACACGGCTGACTACGTCAGCGCTCTGCGTGTCTAATGGTCCTCAAGAACGGCCAAAGACTCTCAGATCAGTTCTCAAAACAAAATCGTACCTCCTTGGAAAATTCGGTGACGCGGAATATCCATCATACAGTGAGAACAAGTTAATCCACATAATCTAGTGCTGCAGATCCCAGATTTCAAAGAGAAAAAATGCCGATTGTTTTTAAAGAGAAAGTTAGTGGTTTAGTTTTTAGACATTCGAAATTCCTTGAGAGCTGGACCCTGTAGACAAGGCACATTGAATATCTGCACACACTCAGCAAGGGAAAGTCGGGAGCGCTTGAAGTTGCTGTGCCGAGTTCACCGAACAGCCATGTGCAGCCTCAGCCTCAGCACTGCATCTTCAGGACGCTGCACAGCAGGCACCACGGCTGCAGTCACCACTCATCAACCAGCCCCCCAGCAGGAGCCCAGGAGACCCACACAGAAACCAGATCACGACTGCTCCAGAGCGAGTCCTAGTGGCCGCATTGGGAGGTGACCACTCCTTAGGTCTCCCAGGGTACAAGGGCTGCTCCTGTTAGCACAACTCCCTCGAAAACAGACAACGGAAGCATTCAACCAAGCAGTCCGCTTCCTCCTTTCTCCACAGACTCTGTGTCAACCTTGTCCCCACAGTGATGGAGATCAAACCTGGGCCTTCCACTTGCTAGGCAAATGCCCTTCCATGGAGCCACACCTCAGCCCTCACCATTATTTTTCAATTGTGGACCAGATCCATAGGCAATGGCCACACGAGGTCTGCTGATAAAGACAAATTAGAATGGAGAAGCACAGACAAACTGGTGATGTTGCAGCTACCACTGATCCCCTCTAGAATGGGTAAATCTGAGACATTTAGGAATTGGAAATAATTTTCCAGATGACCATCATCAAATAATTTGTACATTACCTCTGGATCCTTGTGAATTAAAAAAAAATACTGACCACTCTTTTCAATGACTCAGGGCTTCTACCCATGCTATGAGAGAAAACTCTTGAATTTGAACCGTGTAATTATAGCTAACCATTATGAAAACCTGTGGCATGTCAGTAAGTCTGCTAAGTATTTTTGTAGGTATCGTCTCAATTAATTCTAATAACTCTGTGAGAAAGGTATAACTATTTTTCCCATCTAAGAGATGAGGCTTACAGATTTAGGCTGACTTGCTCCAGGTCATTAATCCTAAACCCTGAGTGGGTCAGCTTTCCATTACCATAACAAATATCCAAGATAAATAAACTTATAAGGAAGAAAGGTTAATTGGGGCTCACAGTTTCAGTCTGTGATTTTGGGGCATGTGGAAAGGCAAGACATCATGGTATGGTTGGAGTACAACACAGAACAAGCCGCTCAGCTCAGAGCAGCTGGGAAGCAGACAGAAAGAAGGTCCAGGGAACCATTATCCCTCTAAGATCACATCCCCAGTGACCTAAGTTCCTCTGATTGGGCCCCATCTCGAAAAGCTCCGTCAGCCTCCCACACACTGGGAATCATGCTTCACCCACGGGCCCTTGAGGGGACGCTTATCTCAACCCAGGACCGTGTCTCACTGTGTACTTTTAAACACCATGTGGTCCTCACAGACTCTGTTGCTGCAGAATTCTTTATAATGAGCCCCAGACTTAAAGTAGTCATTGAATGGACCGAGGAAATCAGGGAGAAAAAGTCAGACCTTCTTCCCAGTTTTACCCACATTTAAAAATGACTTTTCTCACAAAGTGGCAAAGGGTTCCCAGGGTCAAAAGAGCTACTGTGGCCGAGGCAATGCAAGACTTTTGCCGCTCAATATTTAGCTGTTTAGAAAACCACACTTTTGGCTAACCCACAAGTAAGGAGGAAGGCTAAATCCTACAAGCAAACCTCTAACAAATGCATCAAAGTCACAAATTAAACACTCTCCTACTGCTCTCATTTTCTGATGAAAGGAGGCCCAGGTCCTGAAGCCTACTTAACTCAAGCCCCATATAATAGCCCAGGCCTGAGAAGCGCCTCACCCCAAGGGTGGCAGGAAGATCAAAACTGAGCACCAGTGTGCTCCGGAGGAGAATCAGCACTGACCTGCGGGCTGTCCCAACGCGTGTGGGAGTGAATGAGCACAGCTTCCAAGCCATTTCCATTTTTCAAGCTCTCTCCCCACCCTGAGGTGGCCACTGCCCTTGCTTTGGTTATGTTTGATGGCTGAATATTGGGAACCAGCAGCCTGGAGTACAGGGAGGAGAAAGCTGCAGAGACCACCCTGTGCCAGACTCAACCCAGGCGTGTCTGAACCAGCCCACATCCCGGTCAGCGTCCACTGCTGCCCGATGAACCTTGGACCTAGAGGTTCTTGTTGAACAAGAGAAGTTCTCAGTGGGTTCATTGAGGTTCTCACGAAGAGAATCACTGTCAGGCCAAGGCAAAATCAAGTCTCCCCTCTGCTTCCTCTCTGCGATGCACAGAATGGGAATGGAGAAAACCACGTGCTATAGTTTGACTCATAAGTGTCCCCTAAGACCTATGCATTAAAGACTTGATGCCTTAGTGACAGTACTGGGAGGTGATAGACCTTGAAGAGTTGGGGCCTAGTAGGAGATCTTTCAGCAGCAGAGTGTACTCTACAGGGGATTATGGGACTCTTGCCTTTTCCGATTTTGAACTCCCTGGCCATGAACAGTTTTGTTCTACCTCATTTTCCCACCACAATGTGCTAAATTGCCTAAAGCTATGAGCCAAGTGATCAGACACTACAGCCTCTAAAACTGCGAACCAAAATAACCTTTTTCTCTTTATAACTTGATTATCTCTGGTATTTGTGATAGCCACAAACATCTGACTTAACACTCTGCAAAGAGTTCTGCATGGAAGCGAGGGAGTGAGAACCACCTCCCTCATCAAAAAGTGATCCCAAGTTATTAGAACAGTCCCAAGCTACTTTCCAAAGCCTGAGGCTTGGAACACAATATTGCCTACAGGAGCGATGAAACACATCCCCAGGTAGACTCACGCGTGCACCAGCTGACAATGTGGGAGCCACCCTTTTCTGCAGAGAAGTGAGTCGGTGGTTACGGAGTGCACGCCACATGCTGGGCTCTATAGCTGCTATCTACAGATGATCGGTGCTACACACTGTTCCCTGTTTGCTACCGCAACTGTGCTAAGTAGACATCATGGTTATTTTATTAGAATCGAGGAGAGAAACCAAACTAAGTAACGACAGCACAAAGCAACAATTTGTAAGAGACACAATCAAGATTAGAAGCCACACCTAACCCCATAGCCGTGTCCTTTCCTCCCATACCACCACTTGGTGTAAAATGATACTGCTTCAGTGGAAACTATTTTACTCTTTTGATTGTGTTGCTTTTAATCACAATTCAAATCAAGAATTAGTGTTCTTTTGCCATGACCACGTAAAGGAATTTAGTTTACATGGGGGAGGTGAAGGGAAAGGGGAAAACTGATGGAAATGTGTTATGCATTAGACTCTACTTCTTGCCATTTGGCTTACTTTCTTTTTTGAGATGGGAGAGTAGGAAAGAAGGTACATATGGCCAGAAATTACTAACATCTTTCCATCTTTCAAGGTTTATTTTAGGGATGCAGATTACCAACAATGTTTAGATAAGTAATTACCTGTCCAAAGCTGATTTCCCCCTGCCTTGTGGATGCATGTGCAGCCCCCAATCATACCATCTGGGGGCTGCTGGCCCAGGGACAGCCACAGACTCCCTCCCCCATCCTCGACCCCCATGCTAATGTGCCTAGACCCCAGGGATCTCATCTATGGCCAGGTGCCCAACACAGTGGTGGTAGAACTCTAAAAGAAGAAGACCCAGGAGGGAGCAGCAGTTGTCCCAAGAGAACAGGTCCTGGATGTTCTATGACCTCACAGTCCAGGTGTTCTATCTGTAAAGGATAAAGCATGGTCTGGACTTAACATTCAGAGGGCCCATGCTGAGCAATACTGGGAGCCCAGATAGTCGTCTCCAGCCAGGTTCTCTACCCTGGGCTCTGCCTCATCCTGACAGAAAGCACTAAGTCTAAACAACATCCCAGCTACCTGTAACAGTTAAACCCTTCACTGAAACATGGCAGGAGAAAACAGAAACAAAACAACTTCTTTTTCTGAGTAACAATGTCCCCCAAGGATAGGACATTACTCCCACCTATGCATTACTAACAGCAAGAATTCAGAGCCCCATAAACTTTGAAAACCCAAAACTTCAGGCTGCAATTAGGGACTGTCTGGGTCTTTCTCAGCAATCTTAAAACAAATAATCCCTTACAGTCAAGTAGACCATTGCAGCTTCATTCCACTTTCGGTCACTCAAACCGCATTTCTGCTCACAAATTATACTTCCTTGATAGCCTCCCCATGAAGTTTGGCCATATTCCTGAGGCTGAAATGAGAGTCAGAAAGTCAGTACACCCACCCCAAGCCCACACTTTTGCCAAAACCATCTCTTTCTCCTGACTTCCTGGCTGTACTAATGATGCCACTGTTCCGCCAGTGACTTTGACATCGTGCTTGGATGGAAGTCAACCACAGGCCAAGAATCAACAACTTTTCCAATCAGTGATCTAGAGTTGCTATAGAAATCTCAGAGGGAAAGGCAGAAATAGGGCAGGAACCCATTTGACTACAGATAGTAGTGACAAGGAAGGGCAAAATGTAGAGAAAAGGTAGATGAGAGACCTAAGGAAGCACCTTTGCTGGAGTGAGAGGAAAGAGTGTAAGTTATCAAGTCATCGGAGGCAAAGCGAAGAAACCAGGCAAACCAGGGTCATGAAAACCACGGTGGAAAGCCATTTCAAATGGCAGAGACACCCCT